TGAGCATTTAAGCATGGGAGATGATCACCCACAATCCTGCACAGAGAGAGAGAGAGAGAGAGAGAGAGAGAGAGAGAGAGAGAGAGAGAGAGAGAAGAACCATTGGCTCAGTTGTGATCATGTAATGTTTGGCATCACGTACTACTCGTATTGCTAGACATCGCTCATTTATCAAGTTAAAATTTATTAGAAATGTTTGTTCATCTTGTGGAACACTCGCAGAACAAGTTACTTGCAATCCAAGGTTTTACTATATATATATATAGTAATATATATAGTTAAATATATAGTAATATATACACACATATATATATATATATATATTTGCAGTTGACATAAAAAGTAAAGGCAACAAAAGGAAAAATCAACAAGTGGGATTACATCAAACTATAAAACTTCTGCACAGCAAAGAAAATCATCAACAAAATGAAAAGGCAACCGATTAAGTGGGAGAAAATATTTGCCAATCATATATCTGTTAAGAGGTTAATATTCAAAATATATAAAAAAACTCATACAATTAATAACAAAACAGAAACAATCTGATTTAAAAATGGACAAAGGAACTGAATAGACATTTCAAAGAAGACATATAAATGTCCAACAAATATATAAAAAAGTGCTCAACATCACTAATTATCATGGAAATGCAAATCAAAACCACAGTGAGATATCACCTCATACTTGTTAGCATGGCTAGTATCAAAAAGACAAGAGATGGGCCGGCCGAGTGGTGCGATGGTTAAGAACTGGCTTGGGACACCAGAGGGCCCCAGTTCGGATCCCACATATGAGGGCCAGTGACACTGCCCTCCACAGCTAAGATGCTGAACAACAGCTCAACCTGGAGCTGGGCTGCAGTGAGTCGCTGGCGGCGGTATAGGCTGCAGCCCCTGTGGCAGTGGGTTGCCATGGGCTACTGTGTGTAGCCAGCAGCCAGCAGCCACAGTGAGCGGCCGTCCAGAAGCCGGCGACTGATCTGCCTTGCCCGGGAAGAGCGCAATGATGGTGCCAACTTGCGTCAGTGAAGCAACGTCCTCCACAACTAGACTGAAGAACAAAACGACAGCAACTTGTCTGTTCCCCTTTCCCAATTCCCCAGCGCTGTTCCCATCCCCCCAATTCCCCAATAAAAAAATCTTTAAAAACAAAAAAGACAAGAGATAACACGCATGGGTGAGGATGTGGAGAAAAGGTGCACTGTTGTGGGAATGTAAGTTAATACAGCCACTACAGAAAAAACAGTATGGAGGCTTCTCAAAAATGTAAAAAACCAGAACTACCATATGATCTGGCAATTCCACTACTGGGAATACATATATCTGAAGGAAATGAAATTACTATCTCAAAAAAAATCTGTATCCCCATATTTATTGCAGCATAATTTATAATAGCCAAGATACAGAATCACCTGAAGTTTCCATCGATGAATAAATGGATAAAGAAAATGTTCTAATATTCAATGAAAGATTATTCAGCCATAAAAAAGGAAATCCTGCCATTTGAGACAGCATGGATAGACCTTGAAGGCATTATGCTAAATGAAATAAGTAAGACGCAGAGAGACAAATTCTGTATGGTCTCACCTACATGTGGAATCTGGAAACATAAAATAAAGCTGAACTCATAGATACAGAGAACAGATTGGTGGTTGTCAGAGGTAGAAGCTGGGAGGTTGGGGAAATGGGTAAAGGTGGCCAAAAGGTACAAACTTCCAGTTATAAGATAAATAAGTTCTGGGGATCTAAAGTATAGCATGGTGACTAAAGGTAAAAGCCCCCTAAGGCTTTTGTTATAATCTGGGAAATTAAAGCCACATTGTACTCTTATAATTAATCTTAATAACTACAAATTTTAAAATGCATCAAAATCTTACAATCTGAAGCACTATGGAATCCAGGAGCATTCAAATTAAGGAAACCTTGATTACAATAACCCAAGGCTTAACTCAGAGAACTTTCTTGGAATAACTCAAAAGGCCCTTAACCTAACAGGAAACACTGTCAAGTCAAAAATGAATAAGAAGCAAACATCAAACTGTTTATTATATTTCTACCATCATCCGCAGCCTCAGAGCACTAACTCACACACAGAAACAAAATATTGTGAAAAAAGGAAAGAACTCCTCAGGCCCTCAGTGAACAGGGGACAGGATTTAGACACATGCTGTTGTGTGGGCAGACAAGGGAGGAGAACAAATTGATGACAGAAAGGAAACAGGAAGCGGTCCCAACTGCCTCTGGTCTCTCAGCATTTTCATATTTAGATTCTTATATGTCACTTCAATTTGCATTGTTGTATACATCATAAATATCTGTGCTTCGTGTGTACTTTGCTTACCCAACTAGCTTGTAAACTTGAAGATCTCACAGGGATGAAAGAGGAAATGGCACAAATAAGAAGTGACAGAAGGTAAAAAGAATAAAGGGGAAAAAGATGTGTCACTGTGTGGGGACTTGACAGGGCTTTTGAATGGCCACTGCCTCATCTGAGTGAAGTATCTACCCTTTAGCTCTGTGCCAGGCTTACATTTTTGTCACTCCATGGTGAGGGATTTTTGTCCAATTCTGTCTTGCTCTTTTCTATTTTGCTCCCTTTGTACCCAAATAGACAATACTAGACTCATTCCCTAACACTGAGGCCATTGCTTTTCATCTGATGCAGCTGACGAGAAGCAATGTTATAATCAGAAGACTGGGAATTTTCCAACCACACAGGATGCAGGCTTGGCTTCTGTCTCTTTAATGATTTGCAATTTTTAGTAGCTACTACGTGGGTCCCTTGGGTTGCCCTTTATTTTAAGAAATACACTTTCCTTAAAGGCAATGCCACTCTTCTTTCTGGATAACATACTACCTGTTCTCCATTGCTATCTTCATGTTTAAAACATAGCCTATGGCACATATGATATGTACCTTATTTTCTATAGGGTACATTAACCCATGTTGCCAGTGTTTGATGGAGTAAACCTTAGATCCTCAGATATATAACAGTATACTTTACAGATCTAGGCAGAAGGTACAAAATCTTTGTCTAAAGCCAAGGTCAATGTGCACTCGTGCTAAGGTATGGCAAATGTCCTGTTGGGTTCCAAATTAGGTAAGTATTAAAAGTGGGGGAGGAGGACTCATTTTCAATAAGAACTGAGAAACAGAGTTCACTCATTACTACATTACTATTTTAATGAAAACTACCATTTACCAAACTCTTATCCTTTGGCAGGAACTATGCTAAGTGCTTTATACAAGTTATCTCATTTAATCATCAAAATAATGGTATATATGAAGGAGATACTATAATTATCTATATTTGTTATATAAGGAAACAAAAGCTTAGAGACTTAAAATAACTTGGCAAAGATTTTACACACACACACACACACACACACACACACACACACACACACAGACACACACGGTGCCAAAATAGGTATACACATTTTAAGAAAGGAAAAAACTGTATTAAAATTGTAATACTCAATATGTATCAATAACAAAAGATGAATACAGGTCATGTTCAACTTCTGCAATTACAAGAGGTGCTCAAAGTGGTTACTATTAGAGTAATTTTAATACAGTTTTTGTAAATGACAAAGCGAACATTAAAATCTGGACTACCTACTCCTAAGTTGTGTTGTTAAACATTGTTCTATACAGCTCTCCTTATTTCTCTTCACTGAACCCCACCCCACCCCATCCCCAATTTAAGTCAAGTTTTGTTTTGTTTTTCCTAGAAAACAGCAATGGGACTAGGGCATTGTAAAGTGGTGGTTGAGGAAGTCCTGGTCCATTGGTGGGCTATTTCAATCTCATGGTTTTATCTCTTGATAAGAAATGGAGGGGAGATAATAAATCCAGATTTGTTGGCTTTTGTTTTCATTCTTTCTCATTACTAGAAATGGAAATCATTCCTCTTAGGACCCAGTAATTTAGGGTAAGCATTATTATCATCATTTTCTGGATAGACTCAGAATTTACATGACAGACCCCAGGTGAAATTCATTTCTAGCCAGAAAAGAGCTAGAATTTACACCTAGGATTCCTCCCTCCAAATGCAGGTGTCCTAAGCATGTTTGTGTGAATGCGGCATGTCCAGCAGCCTCTTTGGGACCGTTACCTACCCTATACTAAATATATACATGGCCACTTTCATAAATTCCCCACAAACCTACTTTACTTCCTTTGTCTCCTGCTTCAGCAAAATGTACTACCACTCAGGTGTACATGTGAGACACCTGTATATCAATTTCAATTTTCTTCTGTCACTCATACTGCAATTGTCTTATAGCCACGCTGTTACCCAGTCATATCCGTTTTATGCCCAAAGAATAAAATTTACCATTTTCTTTCTATATCTACCCACACAACACTCTGTCTCCTCTGGGCTACTAGGATTGTCTCCTAACTTTTCTCTACCTTTTTTTTTTTTGTCTTATCCATCTTCACTTCATTCTTATGAAGCCAGAATTATCATTTCTAACACAAATATTGTCAGGCTATGAATGTCATGCCATCATTTTATTGAAAATACTCCAGTGTCTTTCCATGGTGCTTAGATAAAAATCAAAACCTCCAACATGGCTGACGAGGTCTTGTATAATCTGGTCCTTACCATATCTCCCACTTCATCCCTTAATCTCTGTACAACATTCCTGCTGGCATTTTTCCATTCCCTCAAACACTACAAAGCCCTTCACACAAGTTGCTTCTTCTGTCTGGATCACTCATGAACCTTCCACTTCAGAAATGGTGTTAATGCTCACTCTTTCTTCAGACCTCAACTCAGTTGTTACTTTCTCAAAGACAATTTCCCTGGCCTCTATTATATGCTCTCTTGCAAGACCATTGCAACTCTTATTACTTATCACTGTTGCAATTTTACATTTATTGGTAGAATTATTTGATTAATTTCTCTCTCCCTAACCAAGCAATACCTCTTTCTATGTACTTAGTATCATGCTGAGCACATGGTTGGCACAGAATACATATTGTTATGCTTACCATTTGTCTGAATGAGAAGGTTGTAGATTTTAGTCCGAATGCCCTCTGGATACAAAGTGAAGCTGCACTCATACTTCCCACTGAGTGAGGATGACATGTTTCTTAAGTGCAGAGTCCATTTTGTCACATTCCCAGGAGCTTCTGTGAAAGCCACCAGTGGCTCACAGGGAACCTCACTGGCACAGTGGAAGCCATATTCGGGATGATAAAGGGCAATGAGGTCCACCTTTTGGGTGATCTTGGACCATTGCATTTGCACCAAGAAGCTTTTCCTCTGTGTTTGGCAAGTCAGGTTGACATCAGAGCCAGGTAAAGCATAAATGTCTTCTGCACCGAATGCGCCTTCCCATATTCCTGAAAAGGAAGAACATGAGCCATCAGTATGCATGATTCACATGGAATGACTTTTAATTACAAACCTTGGTCACTGTGGTGAGGTGAGGGAGCAACTGAGGACTTTCTCCCTGGCTACCTTTGGGGTTGGAGAGAGCTTGTGTTTGATACAGATAGAGAAACACGAGACTCAATACATATGAGGAAGCATTTCCTGAAGTCCACTAGAGGAACTTACTGACTTCTGAATATTTATTTCTTTGTCAGTTGGTCTCTCCAAAAAATAATTTATGATCTCTGACAGCCTGTGAATAAAGTTAAGACTATTTAAAATTGAAACTCACCAGCAAACTTATTATGGCAACTATTCTTACATTTAACACAGTTGGATTTTTTTTATTTTGTTATGAATCAACGGCTGCATATAACACTCAAGTGATATTTTCTGAAACTGCAAAAATATTTATAAAGTGTGTATAGCAGTTTCTAAAAATATATGTTTACAAGAGGCTTTTACACATTGTCTTATTTAATCCTTCTCACATACCAAAGAGTGATGTTGTTAAGGCTGTCAAGGAGGAAACTGAGGCACAGATTAAGTGATTTGATTGAAGTCACACTCCAGTAAAAGAACATGAATTGGGCTGCTTACAGTCTGTGCTTTTTCTGTAACCTCATAACCTCCAAACTGCCTACCAAATTGGTTGAGAAAGGTAAGAAATTTGATATTCAATATATGAGGATTGAAAGGACATTCACTTCCATGTAGTTAGGGTTCATGAAGGGAGGAGAGAATACTTCAGATAAAGGTTCCACTAAAGATAAGCCATTGGTCAGCATCATCTGTAATCATTGCTTTGAAACATCAGACAGAAAAGGAGATTCCCATCGGCTCTCCAACCAAATGCCACAGGCACTTAAAATATGCTAAGCATTGAATCTTTGACATACCTTCAGTAGTGTAGGCCCCAGTTTTAGAATTAACATGGGATACTTTTATAGGACTAATATATTATTGCCACAAGTACCACAGACCCTCACAAAGGAAAAAGATAAAAAGATGACAAACAACTGAGAAGAAACAAGGCTCCCGAAGGTACTTCACAAATGGGAATTGTTACACTTCTATGGATGCAAAATTTTGGGTAGGCAGAGGTTAGTGCAGTTTAATGTCGTTCCCTGTGAGCTCTCCTTTGCCTGATAATATGCCTCTGATCTTATCTACAGCATTATATTCCAAAGTCTCCTTTGATTTAGAAATTCTCCTTAAAATCTTAGCAGCTATGTCTGAAAAACACAGTTAATTCTTAAGATGCTCAGGGTCACTATAATACCCTCATGCTGTGGGATACAAAACTAATCTTTCTGTTATTTTTGAACAGGCCCGTTAGGCATTGGATTCCACTGTCATAAGAACCCCATTTTGTCTCCCAGTTCTATACCTACATATGCCTCATTAAAATTCAACATATGTTCAACTCCCAAAGACATTAGTATTGGGAAGAGAAATGCTTGTTATATCCAAAAGGAAAAAAAAAAAAGATACTTGAAAGAGAGAAAAAGTTGAGTAAGGATCTCTGAGCACTGATGGCTTTGTGATTTATTTTTTTTGTTAGTATTCCAGAGTTGTTTTGACTATCATTTGGAGAGCATTTCATTTCCAAGAAGCAAAATTTCCCAATTACTTCCGAGATCCTCTTAGGAAGGAAATGGGTGAAAATCTCTCTGAGCAGTGGCACAAACCACCCATTCCCTTCTTGGTTTTAGTGTTTGTTAGTAATCATTTCTAGACTCTAACTGCCCTCCCACAGCTGCCACTTAAATACATAACTGAGAACCTTAGTAACAATATGCCTGTGGTGCTCAATTTCAGTGGCAGTCGCAGGCATTTTAAATGAACAGAGGCCCCACTTGCCCCCTAAAGCAGCCGATTTGACAAGAAAGGACAGCTGGAAGACTTACCTCTGACAAAATGTATCTGGATGATGGAATAGACAGCACAGTATGTCCATTTTTTCTCCATCGTCTCCCGAAGGCCTTACACCAGGATTTCCATCATGATCACAGAAGTCAATTGATGCCTTTAACTAAGCAAACTCCAGCCACCCTCTTCGTGCTGAAGAACCCTGAGTCTACCACATGCCTGGGTCTGTTTATCACTTGGCCAGACCCCAGGAAATGAAACGTAGACAGGAAAGTAATGTGGTTCAGAGCTCAGTATAACCTTCAACAGAACAATGTTGAAATTGTTCTCTGAAATCTTATGTATCACCTTTGTTAAAAAAAAACAACTTTGCAGTATCCAAAGATTCTCTCCTTCAGGATCTTTGTGTCAGTCAAGCTGCTTCTAAAATCCAAACAAAGGAAATTGTGCAGAGCAGTTCATAATGTGCTTTTTATACATTTCTTTTCAAGAGCACAAAGTCATTTAACAAATGTGAGCTTAGTGTCTTTTATAATAGTTTTTCTATTTAATTTTAAAATGTTTTCTTTGCAGAATTGCTCCAGGGTGAAAGAACAAAGAATTAACACAATTCAATTTTAATAAAACTAAAAACTAACAGAGGGAAGAGTCAGTTATCAGACCGAATTTTATTGTCTCCCTTTTTGCAGGGAGACTCACATTTCCTGGGGGGTGGAGAAGTGAGGGCTCTTTTTCAACCCCTTAGACTGGAAGTCAGGCAGGGAAGTCTCCCACCCTATTGGCTGGAGACCTTTTTTGATGATGGCAGAAGAGCTTCTGCCTCAGCCCAAAACCATATAGAGCAAATAGGTCAAAATCTCTAATTGAAAGGGGGGTGGGGGGAGACTTCACTGCTGTTGATGCCTTCATCTCTTCCCTCTTCCCTGTTCCTCCTAGAAATTCCAGGGATGGAATATAGAGCCAAAAACAGTCCAAGAGATACACCGGGAAGATTCTGATCTGTAGGTTGGTGTCATGTTACAAGCCTAGGGAAGCAATTTTGTTAGCTCTCTCCACTTCTTAAGAGTTAAGAGGAATTTACCTAAGTAGAAACCAATAAAAGTCTAAATTTGTTGAATTCTCTAAGAACAACAGCCCTGCCCTCTTGACACATTTAGAGGTCTCCTATCTTTTATTGCTTTCAAGTGAAGCAACTCTACAAAAATAAATAAATAATAAATAAATAAATAATAAATAAACAATAAAACAAATACCTCAAATTCAGAAAAAAAAGGAAATTGACATTTCTTTTCCAGAGCTAGACTCATTTTTAATGGAATCCTTGCCTCTCCCTGGGATTGGGCTGCCCAAGGGACCTGTTCAGTGGCTTCTGGGCAAATTGGCCTTCTCTGGGTGTTATTCAGGGCCCAGTTCATGGTTCTTATGCCTAGAAACCTCTGCAGCCTGGAGTTATCAAATTAGACTAGTTTTCCTTTGGGACCCACCCAGGCTGTTGGAGAGGAAAAATTTCAGTTGTCCACAGAATATGAATTGAACCTCCTGCAGCGGCAAGATCCAGGCAGCAGCCCCTCCATGGCTGTTTGCATGCAGCAGGTGGCAGCAACGCCCCGCAGACCATACTGCTATCCCAGGTGACGAGAATTTTTTTTGCCTCCACTGCTTTTCAATCCCAGTAGTATTTTGTAAAGGCCCTTTCAGCATGGGGATAGACATTCTCTATACTTAAAAATAACTCTTCTATGGAAGTCATGTCAATCTCTTCTATTATTCCTCCCGCTCACCAAATCCCAGTCGCACAGCATCTCTGCTGCCTTCTAGTCTGCTGCATTTAAGGAGAAAACAGAAGCAGCCAGTTTCACACACAAAAAGAAATCTTGGACTTCTTGAACTTCAGAGGCAAATTCAATTATTTACAAAGAGAAACAGGGGCACACATTATTTCTAGAGGTGAGCCATAATTGCGTGTTTTGGACAAACTTTTTATATGCTCCATCTAAACACTTACCCTCAACGAGAAAAGGGCATTTTCAGAAACAAGAAGTTGAACAAAATGGTACACTTAACTTTTGTGGTTTTCACAGAGGTTAATAACACAGATATTGCTGATTTGTCTTGGACTCCATTCTTTAACTACTGTACAAAAAAAATATGGAGTGCTATACTTTTGCACATGTTTCTTTCTCCTGATGTTTAGAAACCATGGATCTTTCAGTTAATGTTTCAGCTAATCAAAAAATATTTATTGAATGCCAACTCTTAAAGGATGGCAAAGAGCCGTAGTTCTAGGTAATTTTAAAATACAAATGATAAAACACATCCCTTGCCCTTTAGGCACTTACCGTTTTGCTGGGGAGAAAACATCCCTGTGCACCAAGAGAGCTGAGTAACATAATGCACAGAACCAAATGAGAAGACAGGACAGGGCGTTAGAAAAGGGGAGATCACCCAGGATCAAGTGTGCTAGGAACATCTGAAGTGTGGCATCTAAACGTGGTTTTATGTTATAGAAGTGAGTCTAGTGGAATCCATGAGGTGAATTTTCTCAGGCAGAGGAACCAGTAAGAATCAACACTTGGTAATATGTAAGTTCAAGGCTAATTCAGTGATTTGGCTGTTATCATTGAACAGAGACTTTACTGGGGGCTTGAGGCAGACAAAATTGTCCAAGGGGTCAGCTTAGACTGTGGAGGGCTTTGAAGTTTAGGCTATAGATTTTTTTTTCTTGTGTCAGAAAGAACTATAGAGTTTTCAACAAAAGAGCAACATATTTAAAAGTAACATTTTAAAAGGAAGGATGAATTAAGTGGACATGCATAGATTGAATAAAAGAAGGAAGGAAAGGGAGGCAGAAGACCTGTCAGGGATTTTATATTTCTTTAGGTCCCTGAGAATGAGAGCCTGCTGATTGGCAGTGGTTATGACAAAGTGCGATGGGGGCGTGAACATTGCAAGAAAGGGGAGGTAAGGCTTGTTGTCCAGTTGGACATGGAATCAAAATCTCCTCTGAAGTTTTATGCATCAGAATTAAGGAGAAAAGAAAAACCATAATAGAGCTGGATTCATGTTGGAACAGCCACTCTACCCAAGAAGCAATTGTCAAAGGATCAGGGAACTTTAGGCAGGAAGTGAGGGTGCAGCAGAAAGGCCCTGCCTTAACGAAAGTTGAAAGTTCCTCCTTTTGGTTTTCACTGAAATGTTATGAATTTTAAGAATTACCATTTATCCCTGCCCCAATTCCCCAATAAAATTTAAGAAAAAAAGAGTTGCCATTTAATCAAAGAGAAAGGAATTTCATGAGACTTTCAGCATAGCAATCTGTTTTATCACCATCATTTCCACCACGCTCAATTCCATCTATTAAAGACAGATTTTAATTTAATACATTCTTCCTTTCCAATGACAACATCAATGTCTGCTCATTACCAGAAAACATTTTAAAAGGTTAACAAAAAAAAATAAAAATCAGCTGGAAACCTAACCACTCAAAGGCTACAGTACTTACATTTTGTCTTACATGTTTCTAGACTTTTACAAAAATATGTACATGTGAAGAAAATTGATTTTACTATTTACCCTAACATGTGCTTTTTCCACGTCATAATATATTGTAGACATAAAACATATTACAAAACAAAGACCTGTTTATTTCCTTTAAAATAAAATATTTTATTGTATGGATACACAGAAACATAATTTTTAAGTAAGATAAACAGAAAACCTCTACCTAATGTTTTACTTTGAGAAATACAAACATAAAATTTAACTTAGTAAATTACAAATTATAATTAGTAATCTTTGAATATTTATTTTCACTGGCAAATTGAAATAAGGAGAGAGAGAAAGAGAGAGAGAGGGAGAGAGAGAGAGAGAGAGAGAGAGAGAGAGAGAGAGAGAGAGAGAGAGAATGAGACCTTGATTTTGCCAAAGTGCTGGGAAGCTAATATTGACTCAATAATAAATCAATAATGTGTTCTATAAAAATACATTTTTAAAACCATTAATATTTCTAGAGTTAACAGAGCCAGAATAAGAAGAAATATTTTAAATTCGATATTCTGCCTGCTTTCAAAACACTGAAATTTATTTAAAATATCTCTTCACATTCAGTGCAGAGAAGAACACCTCGAAAAACTGAGAAGTGTTGCAATTGATTTTAGGGCTTACAAAAAGGATAGTATGGAGCTAAATCACATACTGTGATCCTTTCCTAGGCAGCTGCAAAAATATTCTTAACCACATTGTATTTTTACAACTGTAGATTCACATAGAGATACTGTGTTTCTATACGTGGTAAAAACCATACCCTAGGTAAATTCCACAAAGAACTGAATCTGACCTTTTGCTAGTAATGCTCCCTCCATCCCCACCACCCCCCTCCCTGCTCTTTTCCCAATAATTTCCTTTTAAATGAAGTTCTGAGTGTGAAAACAAGAGGGAGGGAGGGGGAGAGAGAGAGAGAGAGAGAGAGAGAGAGAGAGAGAGAGAGAGAGAAAGAGCTGGCGTTCACTGGAGAGAGAAAAAGCAACGGCACTTCAGTATTTGTTACTTTTTGCCATGGCGTATGTAGCTCAGTACAACCTCAACTGTGATTAATGGCGTTTCCCTGGTAACTGAGAGCTCAACCAAATTCTTGGGAGAGGATTGTAACAGGGAAGGGAAATGAATAAGAAACTTAGTCCTCATTGCTGAACGTCTTCTTAAAATTCTTGTTTAACACTTCTGACTCAAAACCATGTAATGAACATTATTTCATTTTATTTGGTGATTGAAGATCCTACACAGATCAAGGACATTTTTCTGAACTTCAGACCCCAGAGTGACCATATTAATGTAGAGGATAGTTGTGAATAAAAACATACTTCTCTCCTCCCAAAAGGAAGTCTTAACTTTGGAAAGATTTGTCTTTCTTGTGGAAGAGTTAGAAACAGAAGCATGAGTATGTTCACACAGGAAGGATGTGTGTTTTCTGCCAAGACCTATAGAATGCTGGAGCCAGAAGGAACTGTATGGCTCATCTAGTGAGGAGAGAGACCAGAGACCTTCAGGTTACGGATGAAGAAAGTGAGCCCTGAGAACAGAAGTGTCTAGCCCCAGGTTAAAGAGCTTGTTATAAAGAATCCTATACTACTTGTTATATTGAGTCTTATATTACACTACTAAGTTATTCAGCTTAACAATATTCAACAGTTGAAACCAATTCTTCTTCAAATTAGAATGCAAACTGCCTCCAATATCTTGACAAATAAGAAACAACCTAGAAATCATACTTTTTTGTTTTTTTTTTTAATTTCCACGACATTTCTCTGTTTTATCCTGTACTT